AGGATCCAGCCATGGGCCAGCCCCACTCTTCCACGCTCACCTCCGTTTCCCTATCCCCTTCCATCCTCCCCCTCCCACTGCTCCCCAACATCTTAGAATGCAAAATAGTAACAATAATAATAATAATAATAATAATAATAATAAAGTTTTAAAAATGCTACATATAGAGATAGAAAAAATAGGGAGGAGCAGTCTTTGCTGGGTAGAGGAACCAGAAAACATAAGTGTACATTCCAGGCTCTACCTTTAATTTAAGAACATTAATTCAAACTGCTGCAACTTCTTGCTATTTGGTGTAGTGATTTAACCCAACCCCCTCTCCCGGCTCACTTCAAGTTCCTTCTTGTCTACTACTGTGGGTCCTATACCCTGGTACCTGTTTTTCCATTTGACCACTTGCTCTTCCTCAGTACTGTCTACTCAGGTTTTCTACTGGATTTTCCAGTCATCCTTGAATCTGCTTTTCAGCTCACTCTTCAAGTTCAGCAACAAGACTTTGAACTGGTTTTTGGCTTCAGCCATATGCCCTTTGGACTCTGTTCCTCATATCTGCTCATAGACACTGCAAGTACAGACCACCACAGCCTCATCCCCACCCTCACCTTGAATTCCTGCTCAATTTCATGAACAATTCCATCTAGCTTCAGCTATCAGAGAACAAGTTAGGACAATAAGTTCAATTTTGGGCATTGAATTTGAAGTCCTTGAGAGCATCCAGGTAGAGATATACACAGAAGACAATTGGAAATAATGAACTTGGGACTCAGGAAAGAGACCTGCTGGGAAACAGATTTATGATCATCAGCAAATAGGGTGTAATAAAAGCCATATGAGTGGATGAGCTTGATCAAGGAGACTATAAAATAGGAGTCCTTAATCTGATGGGCTTCAGGGGCATCTATGAATCCACTGAAATCATGGGTAAAATTCTGTGAATGTATTTACCTGTATCTCTGAGGTAGGGATCCTCAAGTTTCATCAGATTCTCAAATAAATTCCTAAGTCTAAGATTAAGAATCTGTGGGGGAGGGAAAAGGCTGAGGATGGAACCTAGAAGGCACTATTTACTGAAATGTGCTATAAATGTTCTACATGTGAGTCACGGCAACCATCAAGCACATGATTTGCTATTCAAAATTGGGCAATATGTCCCTAAAATGTGCTGACTCAGACACCATTTCTTCTGGACTACTCAGATTGTATGAAAACCAGCACTTTTAGGCCTAGTGATTTTGGATTCTATATTCCCAGCCAAAATGTGGTTTTTCTCCCACTCCTACCTCATAAATAAGGGAACAATTTCCCCAGCCATCTTTTTTCCTTTTTTTTTTTTTTTTTGTCTTTTTTGTCTTTTTTCATGTCCGGCAACGGATCGCAACCCTCAGTGTCGCGCCCGCACCG